CTATCGCCCTACTTTTCTTAATTCCTTTACGTAAAATGTATAAAAATATATATTTTCTATATTTCATCGAAACTCATTTCGAGAATTATATTATAGACATATCGAATGATTTAAATGAATATCGAAAATAGTTAAACAAACATCAAACGCGTAAATGAAGAGGAAGGGAAAATAGCGAATTTTGACCTCGAAAACGATGTCCACCCAGCCTAGCGAGGTGGCCACGACGTGTGCGTCGAAAAGAACTTTCCGAATTGGGGTCATGGGCACGATTCTGACAAATTTTTTTTTTTAAAAACTTTATCAAATAGCCCATTACATTAAATCAGTGTTTGATGTAGATTAAATAGTTGATTAAAATTATATAAAAGTTAACAAAATTTTAACCACATTTTATAGAATTCATTAGTTTTATCATCATTTCGACAATATATTTCCGCAAATTTATCAAAATTAATTAAAAATCTACACCAAACACGGAGTAAGTGTATTTAAGCTAGCCGAAAATGATATATTTTCAATTTTGACTAATAAAAAATATTTATTTTTAATTTACTTATTTACTATAAGCCCTTGTTTGAGCCCCATTTTTGGGAAGAAAATAAATTTTTGAATAGTGTATTGATGGGAAATGTGTGGTAAAAAAATAAGGAAAAGTTTTTGATTTGCGTATAATATTATTTTATTAAAAAATATGTGACTAAAATAATGTCAAATTACTATTTAAAAATGTATTTTGGTTGAAAAATGGGAATCAAACAAGTTAAGTAATTTCTTCAAGATTAGCCGAACATGCACCACTTCTTGAAACAAGAAGAACCAGCAGATTGTAACGGGCAAGTTCAATTTGCAGATTACAAAAATCTCTCTCTTCTCCCCAGTGACATAGAGAAGAGGAATTGAGAGGTAATTCGAAAGAGCTCCCTAATTTATGATGCAATTAATCCCTATTAAAACTTTTGCAATCACACTAATGTTGGGATTCACACTTGTAATTCTCTTCCTAACAGATTTTATCGAATTCCCATCTGCCAATTCTGCAATCTCACCACCCAAAAATTCACTATTAACAACCCTTTCATCAAAATCCACGGCCCCAGACCCATTTAGGGATCTGTTTAAAGCGTACAGGAAGTGGGATTCTCAAGTCGGTTGTGATCGATTCAGAGAAAAGCACAAAGAGGGTTTGGGAAATGGGTCAATGTCCTTGCAAGATTTTGAGGGCGAATATCAGTGTAGTAAGTTGAAGATGAAGCATGTAAGTGTTTTGGTCAAAGGGTGGACTTGGATTCCTGATAATTTGGATAATTTGTATAGCTGTAGATGTGGGTTGAGCTGTTTGTGGACCAAATCTTCTGTTCTTGCTGATAAACCTGATGCCCTTCTGTTTGAGACCACGACTCCTCCTCTTCAGGTACCCTCTTACCGCATGTTTGGCCGTGCTTAAAAGCTGGTGGAGAAAAGTAGCTAAGAAAGCCTTCTTTAAGCACCGGCCAACATCTTGTTAGCCAGTGTCAACTCAATTACAACATGTTTGCTAATGTGAATTAAACTGGATTGTATTAAGGAAGAAAATAGATTTTAAAATTCTATCCTTCATATTGTCTTGTAAGGTCATATAGTGTTTATAAAGTGTGCACTTACTGTTTCTCTGAGTAATTTTTAGTGTTTTTGATTCGTGAATTTTGTATTGCGCTTCATTATTTGACTAGTATTGCCAAAGAAATGTATAGTTGATGTGTCTTTCGATTATAGTCCTTGTATTTTGATCTGGCTGTATGGAAACTGCCCTGGCATTAATGATTCCCCCTCAAATCGTCTCGACCTGATATGAAAATGGCATATTATACTTGGAATTTAGAATAATAGCCTAGATTTTTTTCCCAAAATTGAAAGTCCAATCACCATCTGGATACAATGTTTTGCAATAGGAATTGAAGATATAGAAAAATTGATGGAACTTTACACTAATAAATTTTCAAAGGAATTATAGCGTCTCTTCCATTCTGATGTGCATATCTGTCTAAGATCCCCAATAGTCTAAATTTTCTTCGAATGAGATGAGTTTGCATAAATTTTGCTTGTATGTTTTCAACTGGAAAGTGAAAAAATTAAAGAAAAACACTTGCCTAAAAAAGAATAAAGAAAATGAACCTTGACAAGAGGAATGTATCAAATGTACAGCTTTGCCTCTTTCTGCTATTGTGCATGGAAAGAAGTGGAGAAGCCCTCGTTTTTTTCCAATTAAATAGCAGTAGAAAGATTTGTAATGCGTTCTTTATATAGTACCCTAACACAAAAGAGATCATCTGATACTTACTCAGAGAATATGGAAGATATTGTGATTTTTTTGCTCTAAGTTGATCTTTAGATCTCAAACAAAGTTAAAACTAGTTTCCTATTAGAAAATGAGAAGGGCACAATTACAGACTTGCTTCTGTTTCTTCTCTCACTGATATTCATTTGACTTCCGTTACAGGAATTAGTGTCTGCCTTGCCACGTGGCATCTCAATTGAAGTGGATAGATGATTCCATCACAACTGTGATATCTATAGAGGGAAAAGGAAACGTGCACCAGCAAAAATAATAAAATATTCTGCTAATTGAAATAGACAAGGATGCCTATCTGGAACAAATCATTGTCTGTGTCTTAGCAAATTATGTGGCCTCTTATACCTGCTGATTTTGCACGTTGGCTTACAGAAAAATGTATTTCTAGAATGAACACGACAGTTTTAAAATACTTCAAAGACTAATTAAGTCAAGTTTTGAGTTTTGGTATTCTGTTTTGTTAACATACTCATATTATGTCGGACCGGTTATTGACAATCAATGTCCATCTGTGACTTGACTCTTCTAAAGTTCAGTTTCTCTTTCCTGAATTTGCTTATTTTGGACAAAAAGTCTGTCATCAAAGGAACACAAACCAGAGATTATATTTAAATATTATTACGAGCTCATATCTATGACTGTTCATGTTAGTTGAGCATAGAGGATACAGCTTCCTGTTTTTTGGTTGGCATTTTCTGCCTAAAGAGCTTTCTGTCTGATTTATTTAAACTCCTTTGTTATTAGCTTTGGCCTTCATTTTAGTGTCTACGTTGAGAGGCTTAGCCCCTGTTTGATTTCCATTGTTTCAAAACTCATTTTTAACCACACATTCTTACAATGAAATGTTTTGTACGTGAACCCAAAACTTTTTCTTACTTTTTAACCATACATTTTCCAAAAATTCACTATTACAGAACTCATTTCGATGAAATAATGGGTATCAAAAGTGGCTTAATTTAGTCTGGAGCATGCTTCATATTTTTGGCAGACATTTTATGTACTTAAATAAAAAACAAGATTATTTTCGAAACCAACCTTGTATGCATTGTAAAGTTATTTCTTTATGGTGCAAAGTAAAAATAGAATCATCAATTTTGTGGTTCACCATTTGCAAGTTTCAGTTTGTTCAATATCCGTACACGTCATTTTTCTTTTAGCATCCTCACCATCATTTCTTGTCAGAGGAGTGATGGTGATCCACTTCGTGTATACATGGATCTGGAAGCCAGCAGGAAGAGATCAGGCTGCGAGGACATTTTTATTAGTTATCATGCTAAAGATGATGTCCAGTCAACATATGCCGGAGCACTCTTCCACAACAACCGAAATTATCATTTATCTTACACCAAGAACAATGTAAGTGTTCCAAATAAACTTTTGATGTTTGATATTTGTGATTACATGACTTTCCTTCTATTGAAGGGAAAGTTGCTGCCACCGTCCCCAGTCTTTATCCTCTTACATTCTTAAGTTTTTTGGCAGTGTAAGTACTCAGCCTTACATTTATTGGCACCAGTAATGCCTAACGAGAATTTCTGTCAAAAAATCAATTAAACTGGTGTAAGAATACATAAAGAAAAGAAAAGAAAATAATTGTAAAAACAAATAAACAAGAAGCATCATCTTCCTCAATTCCGCTTTAGCTCCCACTCTACACCCTTGCAACTTATTTATGATTACCTTTCTTTTAGTTTATATAATTAGTCCATGTAGGAATATAGATTTTTGTGGTGGATATTAAAATTGGATTGTTTTCTGTGTTTAGGATACTCTTGTTTATTGGTCCTCATCACGTTGTCTTCCTCGAAGAAACCAACTTGCCAAAACCCTACTCAAATTGTTACCGCACCACTCATTTGGCAAATGCTTGAACAATGTTGGAGGAGTCAACCAGGCACTGTCCCTCTATCCCGACTGTGTGAAGGACAGCAATGAAGAACCTAAATGGTGGGATCATATACATTGTGCCATGTCCCATTATAAGTTTGTGCTTGCAATTGAAAACACAGCGACGGAGAGTTATGTGACAGAAAAATTATTTTACGCTCTTGACTCTGGAGCAGTTCCCATATATTTTGGCGCCCCTAATGTTTGGGACTTTGTACCTCCACATTCGATCATAGATGGGACAAAATTCTCTTCCGTGAAGGAACTGGCTTCTTTTGTCAAGGCCTTAGCTAATGATCCTGTTGCTTATGCGGAGTATCATGCATGGAGGAGATGCGGCGTTTTAGGTAATTTTGGGAAGACCCGTGCAACTAGCCTTGACACATTACCCTGCAGACTATGTGAGATTGTGAGTAGAAAAAACGGGAGGAATGCACGAGTACGGTAAAAACTAGGTGGGTTTTTATGGGTAGTTTTGATGCGAGGATCATGCTACTTAATAGCTGATTTAGTTTCTCATTGTAATGTTAGTGTATATACTATCTGAAAATTGTGATGTTGTAGAAATCTGAAAATTGTGATGATGTAGAAACTAGAAAGAGTTGAAATGAGAAATAAATTACATGGATATTTTGCTTGTTTTCATTTCTGCATCATCTTTGCTGGTCCAATTCTGGTGAGATATGGTACTGAAATTTGTTTAGTTGTGATGTGAAGATTGCCTTTTGAAGATATCAAAAGGCTAGAATTTTGGTAGATTTTGATAAAAGTTGATAAATTATGTGGTTGAAAAATTAATAAAAATTGTGGATTTCATGAAATGTGTGGTTGAAAATGAGGTTTAGAAAATGGGGATCAAATTTGAACTTAATATCGTTTAATTTATCATACCATATATCGTTTGTGAAAAAAGTCGTATCTTAGTAGGGTTTTATTTATTTCCTTATTAAAATGAAAAATATGATCGTTATCTATCACATCAAGTTACCATATTTGACTTTTTATCTCTTGTATGGAGCCCATAACGACTATATTTTTCATTTTCATTTTTACAATAATGTGGCTCAAACGGAAGCTTAATTTATGTTTACGACCAGATAGATGCTTGGTTGCCCACTATCCTGGTTTCCCGAATAAGTTTTGCTCTTGACATGGTATGTTCCAAGATAGTTGGGAGTATATCATATACACGAACTTTATATTTATTTGTTTATTATAAGGATTTGATTGCCTTGAAATCTTCGGATAAATACTATATACATCAAACTTGATGTTGGATATGAAATTCACGATCTCAATTTATAAAACCTTCCCAAGATATGACTTTTTCCACAAACGATATATGGTATAATAAATGAAACGATATTAAGTCAATGATCTCAATTTATAAAATTAAAACTTACTTGATTCGTAGGGTATATTGAAAATAGAGTGACAAGAATGAAATCCATGCAATCACAATTTTATTGATAATAAAATTAAATTTTATAGGACTACCCGATATATATTGTGCTCCATGAAGCTTCTTTGTTTTACCAAAGTTTAGCATTCAATAAAATGTTTTCTTCATGATATATGTGATGCACTGTTACAGCAGCACCCTCAATACCCTTTCTGTTGAATATTTGTTTAAAATCAATGGAATGATAATTGACTAATTGTTGAGCTCAATTTTAGAAATAGTAGAGAATCAAAAGAAATTAAAAAATGAAAAATTTGATTTTTTGCATATGCGTATGCACAGGCTTATTTTTGTGCGTATGCGAGATGTATTTTGGCAAAATTAGAATTAAATTTTGCTTCTACTATGTGTACGCACGGTTTATACTATGCGTACGTATAGTGTTAAAAAATAGTCGTTGGCTGATTTTTCAATTTGAAACGTGGAAGTCGTTTTGGATTAAAAGTTGCCACTTTTCATTTTGTTTTGACACCATTTTGTGATGCATTGATTGAGACCTATAAATAGGTGATGAATGATCAATACAAATATTATTAGAATTATTGAAAACATCTTGAGACCCATATATCATTCCATATTGAATCAAACTATTGATTTACATTCATATTCAAGATTTTCCTTTGTGTTCTTAAAGTTTTGGAGGATTGCACTTGATCTTTGATGTTAAATCCTTTACAAGGATTGATATAATCCTACAAATCATTTGTCAAAACCCTTAAGCATCTCATTCAATCTCGAGAGGGGGCAAATATAGTTTAGGGACAACGATCCCGTGTTCAAGCCTCAAATTCGTTATTGACGTATTTCGTGGTTTTTATTCATTTTGTTTCTATATTTTTGTTGTTGTTTCTTCTCCAACTCATTATTTTCCAACAATCTCAAACTATATTTTGCGATGGAGAATGATACAATTATGGCAACCATCAAACTCATGAATCAAGATTTGGTTAGATTGGATCGTTTTGACGGGACTGACTTCACGCGGTGGCAAGACAAGTTGAAATTCCTCCGAAAGGCGTTGAAAATTTTTTACATTCTTGATCCAGATTTGGCGACTTTGCTGGAACCAACGAATGGAGAATCCGAAGCAATCAAGACCGAGAGACAAAAACGCCAAGAAGATGAATTGATTTGCCGTGGCCACATCTTGAATGCATTGTCGGATCGTTTGTATGATCTATACACCAATACAACTTCAGCGAAAGAAATCTGGGAAGCATTGAAAAGTAAGTACAAGGCGGAAGAAGAAGGTACAAAGAAATTTTTGATTTCTAAGTATTTTGATTTTAAATTCTTAGAAAATATCTCTCTTCTTCCCTAAGTGCATGAGTTGCAAGTGATTGTCAACAAATTAAAGGCGGTAAAAATTGATATACCGAAGACCTTTCAAGTGGGGGCTATAATTGCCAAACTTCCCGGAACTTGGAAAGGATACCGGAAGAAGATCATGCATAGTTCCGAAAATTATTCTTTGGAACAATTGTAAAAGCATCTTCAAATCGAAGAGGAGTCGAGAATACGTGATAAAACTGAAAAATCTCATGAGGGCTGTTCTAAAGCAAATGCTGTGGAAAAAATAGAACCCCCGGCAAAATTCAACAAAAGGAAGCATTCTAGGAACTTTAACAAGTCCAAGAAGAAGACAAAAGGAGGTTGTTTTGTGTGTGGAAAATCTGGTCACTATGCCAATGATTGTAGGCACCGAAAACAAAACAACTTCGAGGTCAAAGTGAATTCCATCCAAGATGATAAAATTGTGGCCACCATAAGTGAAATAAACGCAATCAAAGGAAATGTTCCCGGGTGGTGGTATGATACTTGTGCTACGGTACATGTATCATATGATAAATCTTTATTCAAAACTTATCAAGAAGTGGATGGAGAACAAGAGATTCAAATAAGTAATGAGATGCGGTCCAAGGTGTTTGGAAAAGGAAGTGTAGACATTATCTTCACTTCTGGGAAAAACGTTACTCTAACTAATGTATTACATTTCCGGATGTGAATAGGAACCTAGTTAGTGGCAATCTCTTGGGAAAATCGGGCATCAAATGTGTTTATGAGTCCGGCAAACTTATATTATCCCTTAATGGAAAATTTGTTGGAAAAGGCTATTCGTGTGAAGGAATGGTCAAATTATGTACCGTTGACAATGAAATGAATAAAAGTAATTTTTTTTATACTGTGAATTTATTTTTATTATGACATGCTAGATTATGTCATATTGGTAGAAATACAATGGAACGCATGAAAAAATATGACTTGATCTCATATGATGAAAATGATGAACATAAATGTAAAATATGTGTAGAATCTAAAATGATTAAAAAAATCATATCAAAGTGTTAAGAGAACCTCTTGTATTTTAGAATTAATTCATATGTTTATTTGATAAAACATAAAAGTGAAGTCTTTGACATGTTTAAGACATACAAGAATGAGGTTGAAAATTATCTAGGAAATAAAATTAAAATTTTAAGGAGTTATAGAGGTGGTGAATATTTTTTCAATAATCAACATGAAATTATTCATTAATGTTCTGCATCTAGGACATCCGAACAAAACAGCTTGACTGAAAGAAAAAATAGAACATTTGTAGAAATGATAAATGTCATGCTTATTCATGCTAAGTTGCCATTTAACTTGTGGGGGGTAAAACTTTATTAAGTGCATGTAGAATACTTAATAGGATTCCTTAAAAATATATTAAGGTTTCTCCTTATGAATTATGAAAAGGAAGAAAACCGAACATTGGATACTTCAAAGTGTGGGGGTGTCTTGCCTATTGCAAGAACACGAATCCTAATAGGACCAAATTGGGTCCAAGAGGTATTAAAAGTGCCTTTGTTGGATATGCAAACAATAGCAAATCTTATAGATTACTAAATTTGGAGTCCAATGTGATTATCGAATCCAACGACGTGGAGTTCTTTGAGGATTCGTTATCTCCGGATAATGAATTGAGAAAAAATCTTGAAAATATCCCTAACTCAAGTGAAACATATGATGAAATATCTTCTAAAGATGTTGATGAGTCTAGTAAACCACGAAGAAGCAAGAGAACTTGAGTTGAGAAGTTTTTGGGACTGGATGAAATTGATTCTCAACTTATCTCCTTTTACTTAATACAGGGAAATGAGTTGAATGTTGTAAGAACAAATCCTTTTGTTCTACAAGTAGAAACCGACCCTAAGACTTATAAAGAAGCTATGGCTTCCATGATAGCACATTTTGGAAAGATGCAATTAAGGACGAAATGGATTCAATAATGTCCAATAATACTTGGAAACTTGTTGATTTACCACCGGGATCCAAGTCTATTGGATGCAAATGGGTATTTAAAAGAAAATACAATGTTGATGGATCCTTAAATACCTTCAAGGCTAGATTAGTAGTTAAAAAAATCGACAAAAGGAAGGAATCGACTATTTTGATACTTATGTACTAGTAACTAGAATAATATCGATTAGGCTATTATTCGCTCTAGCTTATATGACTTGCATGTTCATCAAGTGGATGTCAAAACGAAATTTCTAAACGGAGATCTCGATGACGAGGTCTATATGGAACAACTCGAAGGGTTTGCCCTACCTAGAAATGAACATAAAGTGTGCAAGTTGGTGAAATCTTTATATGGTTTGAAGCAAGCACCAAAGAAATGGCATGAGAAGTTTGACTTAACAATAATATCATTCGGGTTTAAACATAATAACGTTGATAAATGTTTATATTCTAAAATTTGTGATGATTATATGACATTTATATGCTTGTATGTTGACGACATGTTGATTCTGAGTAATCACATGGACGGAATAGAAGAAACAAAATGGTTTCTTTCTTCCACATTCAAAATGAAGGATCTTGGACAAGTGGATATCATTTTAGGTATCAAAGTCACAAAGACTAGTGGGGATTACTATCTAAGTCAATCACATTATATTGAGAATGTGATAAATAAGATCAAACATTTGAACATAAAGGAATGTAGTACCCCGATTGATCCAAGTTCAAAACTAATAAAGAATGATGGAAAGACGATTGCTCAATTGGAATATGCAAGTGCTATAGGGAGTCTTATGTATACTGTTCAGTGCACAAGAACGGATATAACTTATGCAATAAGTAACCTTAGTAGGTTTACTAGCAATTCGAGTAATGATCATTGGAAAGCTATAACCTTAGTAGGTTTACTAGCAATTCGAGTAATGATCATTGGAAAGCTATTGTTAGAGTTCTTGGATACTTAAAGAAATCTAAGAACTTTAACCTACAATATACTAAATTTTCGGCGATATTGCAAAGATTTACTGATGCTAGTTGGATATCTAGCACAAGTGAAAGTAAATCCACTTTGGGTTAGGTATTCACTATTGGAGGAGGTGCTGTTTCTTGGAAATCAAAGAAACAAACATGTATAACACATTTGACCATGGAATCTGAATTTGTAGCTTTATCGGATAACGGGAAAGAGGTTGAGTGGCTTAATGATCTCTTATATGAGATACCTTTGGGATCGAAGAATATCTCTTCAATACCTATCATGTGTGATAATCAAACGACTTTAGCAAATGCATATACCGAGGTATACAATGGAAAGTATAGACATATGAGTCTAAAATATGACTACATAAGGAAATTAATCAAAGATGGAATAATTTCCCTAAATTATGTAAGGTAAATTGAGAATTTAGCGGATCCTTTAACTAAAGTACTAAATAGAGATTTAGTGGCGTCTACTTCAAGTAAGATGGGGTTAAAACTCCTTAATTAAAAAGGTCCACCAATGACGGCAACCCTACCTGTCATTACTCAAAAGGTAATCCACGGGTTCAAAGGGTAACAACAAGTCATTCGATATGTGGATAGTTGCAGCATTATTCAAATCCGCAATGACCATATCCTAATTAAATAATGCTGGTTGTTACTGAAGTGAGGGTTGAGCTTAAAGTTCTTAATGAAGTTCAGCGCTAAAACACAAGTACATCTAAAAGTAACAAAGGTACTGGAAGAACTTCACCTAGACTAATTTCGAGGTGGTGCCATCTCTATAGAGAGTTGAAATGTCTCTCTTAAAAGTTTATCGAATAGGATGAGCGCAAGGCCATAAAAGCGCTAAGCGAGTTGAGAAACTTGAGAACACGTGATACTTATGTGTGTGTTTTTACTGGTATTGTCACAAGGAATAATTGATTCAAAGTTTCCATGCTACCTCTAATTCCGACTTTACTTTGTTTGAATTACACTATGGTTAGATTCAAATCGAAAGATATCTAATCCTTATGCATAAGTATTGTCTTTTTGAATATGTGATCGAATTGATTTTGAACAAGTGGGGAATTATTGAATATTTGTTCAAAGTCAATGGAATGATAATGGATTAATTGTTGGGCTTAATTGTGGAATTGGTAGAATCAAAAGAAATTAAAAAATGAAAAATTTGATTTTTTGTATATGCGTACACACAGGCTTATTTTTGTGCGTACGCGAGATGTGTTTTGGCAAAATCAGAATTAAATTTTGCTTCTACTATGCTACGTACGGTTTATACTATGCGTACGCATAGTGTTAAAAAATAGCTGTTGGTTGATTTTTCAATTTGAAACTTGGGAGCCGTTTTGGATTAAAAGTTGCCACTTTTCATTTTGTTTTGGCACCATTTCGTGATACATTGATTGAGACCTATAAATAGGTGATAAATGATCAATACAAACATCATTAGAATTATTGAAAATATTTTGAGATCCATATATCATTTCATATTAAATCAAACTATTGATTTACATTCATATTCAAAATCTTCCTTTGTGTTCTTAAAGTTTTGGAGGATTGCACTTGTTCTTTGGTGTTAAATCCTTTACAAGACTTGATATAATCCTACAAATCGTTTGCCAAAATCCTTAAGCATCTCATTTAATCTCGAGAGGAGGCAAATATAGTTTAAGGACAACGATCCCGTGTTCAAGCCTCAAATTCGCTCTTGACGTATTTCGTGATTTCTATTCATTTTGTTTCCATAATTTTGTTGTTGTTTCTTCTCCAACCCATTATTTTCCAACACTTTCAGCATTTTATCTACTCATTACATTTAACCTACTCCAACTGCAAGGCAAGAAGATTTTATGATCATTACATACGTATGATCATTAACGATTCATTTTTTTTTAATCAATAAATTTATATGATAAATGATTATATTTATATTTATAAATTATTTACAAATAGAGGCTTAGATAGGACGATTACCTTAAGTATGAAGATTCGTTGTTATAAATTTTTTTTTAGCCAAAACCACATGTATAGAAGAAATCCTTACAAAAGTTTTCCAGACAATGCATCATCTTATTCAACCTGTTTTTTGTGTTTTTGCGATGGACAAATGAAAAGTCGCCAAATGAAATTGAGTGAACAATTTATTTTAAACATACATATTAATTTGATCAATTTTTATTTGTGGAAAATGTATTATGGAATAGTGATTAATGTTGAAATGTGTGGTTAAAAAATAACGATTTTTTTTATTAACGTGTAATATTATTTTAATGAAGAATGTGTGGTTGAAAATAAGTACTGTATAAAAAATAATGTTGTATTATGGTAGACAAACAAAGCATTAATTAATTTACATGTAAATGAAATGACTTGAAAGTTTCATTTCATAATCTCTATGGTACATTGTATAGTGATGTTAATACGAATCGATCCGCTTAGGTATGATATATCTCAAGGTTAAAGTGGCTAAATCGAGTCTAGAAATTTTGAAATGACATGACTGGCCGGCCGGTCGAACCGTCAGGTCCGAGGTTGGGTGGTCCGGGTGGAGTCTCTGAAACTACTACATTATTAACAACTTCATTGCCAACGAATCTCGTTTGCAACTGTTCCCCGCCCCTATAAAAAACCAATATATTTCCCCCAAATTGAGAAATCAAGAAAACGATCAACAATGGCGAGGGCCGCCTCGAGGCAATTGATACCCTCCACTTCTTCCACCGACACCGCCACCGCCACCGCCACCGCCACCGCCACCACTATCACTACCCTAGAAACCACGTCTTCCTGCAATCAACAACAACCACTGCCAATTACGGAAACCCTAGTTTTGAAATTGAAGCCGCCTAAGAAGAAGGTGTCGTGGAAGGAAGGCACAGTGGACAACGAGTTCATGAACAAGAAGAGATCCAAGAAATGCTGCATTTTCCACAAGGAAAAGCCATTCGACGAGGACGATTCGGATGAGGATGATTATCACAAACATAGTCATGATGCTGGTGATAGGAATTGTTGCCATGGCCATGGGGAGGACACTACAGTGCAGTGATATTGATATTTTCGTTATTTGAAATCTGTAAGTATATTTGGAAATAGTAATGATGACGGGAAGATTATGGCTATTCTCTTTGAGCGTTCCTGTCTCCTTTTCATTTTTGTGTCTTGGAATATGTTTGGAATCTGGAAGGATGATAATTGAACTTCGGAATATAGTAAAGATATATTGATTATTTTTGGGCGTTGTGCGTGAATTTTAAGGCTTCCTTGTAGATGTATCTTTTTGCTTAGTTTTGTTGCTGGCGTCATGGATCTTGTGTGGATCAGAATTAGTGAATTTTGTGGATCTCATTATTGTTAAAAATTATACATGCTCATGCCACATTTAATTCTCCACTGATTATTATTAGTATGTTGAAGTGTTCTGTGAATTTTGGAACTGACTCGAAATATGATGATGAACGGTTGCATTTTAATGGCTATTTTTATCATATGCGTCTATTATTTATATGTTAGGCGTTTTTATCTCGTATACACTTGGTAATTCAACAAATATTTATAGGTGGTGTAGAAGATATAATTGTGTTGTTCCATCTCTGTTTCTTATAAAGCTAACATTGTTTAGGTTAATGCTGTTTTGGTCAGGTTCTCAGTTCATTTATGCTTTCTTAAGAGGTAAATAGCCAAGTTGTGTTCAAAGTACAATCCTATGGTTTAAGTGGGGAGTACTTCCCCGAGATGTACTTTCTGTCGTTGAGTTGTGGATTGAAAGATTCTAAACTGTTTTCCTTTAGTCAAGATTGTTAGAGGCAGCCACCATTTCCAGAGGGGGTTGAAGTTGGGCAGAGGGGGTTGAAGTTGGATATGTTAGGTTTAGGAGTCTTTGCACTGGCGTACGTGTGAGTTAGAAAGAGAGGGGGGGGGGGGGGGGGGCAAGGGGGGGGG